TAATGTCTGTTCTTCAACTTTGTTGTCAAGGGTTTGACTAGATTCTATCAGTTTCCATCCGTTTCTTCTTTATTAAATTAATATAGAGACCCAGATCAAAACAACTCTGCTTCAGAATGATGAACAATGATATCACAGATTCGGAGTTCAATTATTCAAGTTATGATCATTAACTGACCACCATAGATGAGAAGTTTTATAGGCCAGGGCGCAAATGATGGCCAGCTTTGCCCTTTGCAGCTTCGGCAACGTAGGATCGATTGGCATCCAGTTGGGTGGAATAGGTGGAATGTGCCCAGAACAGAAACCAGTATTGGCTGAAGTTGCCGTTAGAGCGCTGATTGCCTCCATCTGTGCCAACTTCATGACCACGTGTTGGGCAGGTAAATGACAATGTAAAAATGAATGACAGTTTTCTCAACCGCTCATTTACAGGTATTCTCATGTCGCATCCAGAATCATGCATGCCACTGAGTTCTCGAACTCACTGTTTCGATATTGAACTTGGAATACAAAGTCAGAATCGTACAATTTAATCGGAACTAATCTACGGTTGAACAGATAATCAGTCAAATGATATGAAAATGCGCGTTTAATATGAAGCCAGGAGATGGTACGAAAATGTCGAATGAGATAAACAATAAGTGATGTATGAAACACGGAGCGAAGCACCTAAGTTTCTTGATTCTTAGCCTTGAATAAATCGCAGGCTGCAGAAAACTTTAGCCTTGCCAGAGCATCTGCAGCTCATTGCAGAAGCTTCATGTTACGTTTCATGGTCTTTTGAAGTCCTAACAAACGTCTATTCGTCATTCTGCAACCCATCTATTAATTCCGTGTCTTTTCACTCATCAATAAATTGCCACTTCAATGATTCTAGACACAAGGAAACGGACGGATGCTAGTCTTTGCAATAACTGGCCACATTTCAGCAAAGCTTTATCGGCTATCCTCAGGGCAAACAATGAAATCACATCATTGTTGCCCTGAGCATGGTAAACATCGTTTGGCTAAAATGTCGGCAGTTATTGCAAAGACCACCATCTGTTTGTTTCCTTGTGTCTAGAACCAGTGAGACGACAATTTCATGCATATTCGTAAATAAATTTCTCAGGTTAAGAGAAAGTTTCCAGGTGACGAATGAGCTTCTGTTACATTAAAATTTGCGGAAAAATAACCGGCTAAATATTTTTTTTCTAAATTGTTAACTTAAATAATTTAATACGGATTGATGAAATACGTAATCATTAAGATTCCGGTAAAAGATTCATAAGGATAAACGGCATAATGAAAATATTTCATCAAGTTTTTCACTGACTAAGACTGATCGTAGCTGCAGTTTTTCCATTCTGAGATATTCTTATGCATCAATGTATCTATTTTCGATGGTTTCTTTTCACTCAGAACAACCAGGAATTTTAAATGGCTAGAGTACATAAAGCAAGGAGGTAGCTTAGTAAGAGTAGACGCCTATTTCGTTTGGCTTTGTCTCAAAAGTATCGTCGCTTCAAATAATGAGTATCGCAGCGTGCTAAAACTCATGTACATTATAACGGCCGAACCCGATACCTCACTCAAGTGCGTACTATCCCACCTAATGAACATATTTCAGGCGCTACAGCCAAATGACTGATGGAAAAGCAGAAAACCAATAAACTTAATCGTTTCCGCTCTAGTCAGATGTGGAGCACGTTTGAACTTCCTTCAGATTCGCTAATGAGCTAAAAGAGAGACGCTTCTTGAGGCGAACAGTTAACAACAGCAACAGGTATAACGTTCGAAAAATATGCTTTTCAATGAGAACTTGCAACCAGGTTTTAAACGTTTACTTTTCGTGTTACATCAGTTTGCTTAGGACGTTAGACGGAGTTGTTATTGAAAGAATATCGCATTCTGACAGAAAAATAGGAAGCATAGGAATAAGAAACATTCGCATATTACAGAGATTAACCCATATAGAGGATCCTTTTGCCACGTATCCAAAGTTAGTACCTTCAACAATGGGTTTCTTACGGTACTGTACTTAAATATCACAATATCACCACTGGCCTAACTTCCATTCCATGGAAAGCTGGCAAGCAATTAGCGAGCATGCGATAACAACTGTACTAAAGCCTTTGCCTTTCGGCTCTCATGGCTGCCTTAGATAACGTTCATACAGCCAGATACGGTCTAATGAACGAGGTGGCCCTTCGCTGGGGCAAACAGAAATATTAATGCCTTTCATAACAAACTATTTCTACATTCGTGGTAAGCCTTCTCCGTTATAACATCAGCCAGCGAAAGTACCCTCCATAGCACTTCACTGCGTCATACGATGCACAGTATGCTGCCGTACACAACGATGATGCGAAGTTGGATTTAAAGGAGCGGCGCGGGCACCAATGGCCAAGACCCATATAAACTTGCAAACAAGGCACGTTGCCGGACAGTGCTTGGCAAATCTATCCTCACCGAGCCACCTAACTATGAAAGACATCTGTGGCGTCGATGATTCGGTGGCTTCGATATTTCATATTTTTTAAAGACAAATAATAGAATGTACGTTATATTAGAATTCACTGATCGGCATATGCTATTATCCGGTTTTTAGGCGCAAAACATATTCCGGTGTAACCTGCGAAGTGACTTCCTCAACGAGCAAATATCTGTTATACCGCTATCTAGTTTATCCTCTGGATACCCGCTGAATTGTCCATCCTTACAATAACATGAAGCATCGAAAATTCTGTACAGATGTCATTCCCCTCGACTGAAACTGCGCAAGTGCACTACCGAATTATTTCTACGAACCTATGGGATTTTCAATTGTGTCATGGGTTTCTGACTTTGCAAGAAGATTTAGAAAATCCCGCTGATCAGAGGGATTATTACAGTAACCTGCTCATTGTAATGTCCTTCTCTGCTTCAACATATGATGATATCATCAATCGTTCAGCTATTAGGCTGAGTTTAGCCAGAAGTTCGCCATCTAAAAAAGAAGGATACCATTTGCTTCCTTTCCTGATGTTAATTAACAAAATTGTTCATAGATCGTAGTTTTCACTTAGGAGGGTAGACCTCAAAGCGAAAAATACTTGTTTGTTATGCTTTCTTATGAGATTACGACGGAGAGCGCAACCAAACTTTACATCCTGGTTTACAATCAGAGGATCATTCTTTAACAAACCGTCTAGCCTCGACGGAATATGATGCTCTGTCAACCCCGGTTACGAAAGCCTCGATGATCGACCGCTTGAGCCTTCGTAGCAAATCCTTCAACACTACCGTAGCGGCTCAGAGCCACACAACTTCGTCCTGCAATGTGACCCTGAATTTTGGTTAGCGGCTGTCGACATTTCGCTACAGAGAAGTTGAAGAGAGACTGCGGAGAACGTATTCTGACAATCACTATTTCTGCGACTACCGTGTAACACAAATTACAAAAAAATTGGAGGTGGAATACTGTACAAGATTAATCAAGAAAAGAATCTTGGCCATACGATCGATCCACCAAACGCTGATAGTCGATACGATTGAATGGGCTCAAGGTTTGTCTCTAGACGTCAAGCACCTCTGAGTTCTAAACACGCTATCCTCAATAAAAAGAAAAATGAGACCCTTTATTCTGAAAATGGTACAAAGCAGTCTGGTTTGGGTTAAATTTGTTAAGCCTCTTCTTTTCTTTGATCTATGCCCGTATAGCTTTGTAGACGCATACGAAACAATGAGTACAAACTGATTAGGTGTAAGAGCAAAATAAGATCTGACTACAATTACAACAAACCTGCAAGGTAGGCATAACATTGGCGTCCAGCAATGTTGCATGAAGAATCAAGTCATGTTTCGAAACCTGAGCACAACCTACCGAGAAGAATCTGGTCTTGGAGGAGTTATGCGTTATCAGACATATTCCGGCGTACTAACATACTACGATGTTCATGCGGTAACATATACCGAGTACCAGCTGCTGAACCGTCGTTCGTCATGAGCTTGAGATGACGAATAAAACCACGCGAGATGCATCTGGCATTGAACATGGCCTGCTTAAGTTGCCCATAGGAAATCAGGAGCAAGATGGTGGTGCAGTGCACCGTGAAACCTGGTCTTGAAGGTGTTATGCGTCAACTTAAAGAGAGGAAAGAATACAGTAAGGCGCAGAGGTTCATCACCCTTGGAAGTAAGCCAATCTCGTTGATTTTTTCTTGAAGGATTTTGCTGACTACAGTAATTCTGTGTGTAACCTCAATGCTTCTTCACAACGGTGTTTGTTGCAGCAAACTTATGGGTACTGATTTGGCGCCACCAATAAATTTACAGTAAACAGTATTTGACGAAGATCTGGGCACTGTAAACAGCATAGAGGCAAGTAGCGAAATCGGCAAGTCTTTGAAGAGGTACTTGCCGAGAGTCCCGTAATTAATGGATTCTTGGAAGCGGCAACAGCAATATTGCTTGCGGTCAACTGCCACCGACGAGGTTTCCTTCCGTTGGCAAGTGCTAATTGGCGTGTCGAGGTAATGACGAAACATGTGGGTCCACTAGGATCGGGTGACGGCGAGACGAAGGCGGAGAAACTCAATGGATTGATCGGCAGCCAGCGGAGCCGCAGCTCATCACTTCCGGATTTATGATGGCCGTAAAATGAGCCGTTGGGGTTTACGGCGACTAAGGCATTCATCTTCTCTCTCCACCATCGTTTCGGCACCCGCCACTTCGGTTGAACGCAACAACTGGACGATCGTAGAGGAAGGGTGGCAATAGAAGTGATAGTGCGTCACTTCCTTTATGGTGGGTGGCCAACGCCGTGGTTGATTGCTGTGAGAGTGTCCGCCGGTCCGGAGTATTTTCCATCGGTCTTCCAGGTGCGGCCTACAGTATCCACGACCAGCTTGTCGAAACTCCGTCTGATTAACTAATTGAGGAAACGAAGCCACACAAAAG